AAAAAAAAAAAAAAAAAAAAAAAAAAACCACAAAAACCTGCCTGCATAAAATTAGCCTGAATTTGCTCTACTCCTTTCTTGGTGTCAAACTACAACTACGTCAAGTGCTGTGCATTCTGGGACTAAAATTATTTCTATGCTGCTTTCCTTGGCATGGCAAATCCACAGGGTGTAGTAGAGGAATACAGTTTGACTTTGAAGATATAATAGTGTTTGCAGAAAGTGAAGAAAACCAAGTTTTAAAACCATCAAAGATGATACTCTAATTTAATCAACTAAAATTTGAGTCCTACACTTGTTCAATTTTAAGTCAGTATGACATGAAAAGTTAGTAACAAACCAGCACAGTGATACAATAGCATTCATATCTTGGTTGTAAATACAGTATTCCTTCAGTATGTTCAGGAACATTAAACTATGTGAAGGAATTTGGAACTGATTAATTATAGGAGTAAAAAGTATTACTGCTAAAACTACTACTAGTACTACTTTTGATAACATGTATTTATTAGGGGAGATGGACTAAGTACACAAAATTTCAGTTATGAAGACATCTATTATACATCTTTGTGACTATAATTAAGAAGATTTGCTGTGTATTTGCAAATTACTAAGGGTATGTTTTAAGTGTTCTTAGCACAAAAAATTAGTAAATATGCAAGATGCAATATTACATCCAATAGATTAACCTAGCATCATCCCTCAATGCGTGTTGTATTTTATATATTTGTTTTTCTCTTTACCAAGAAAACATACCTGACACCCAAATTAAAGGAGGAAAGTTTTATTTCCACTCACAGTTTGTAGAGGTTTCAGATCATATTTGGTTGGTGCTGAGGCAGGGTGGTGTGGTAGAGGAACATCACAGAGGAGAAACAGAAAGCAGTTCATGGTGGGCAGAAGGCAGCAAAGTGGGGACAAAGGAGCAGCAAGCAACAAACAGTGACCACAGCAACTTGTAGGGCAGAGAGTTCTCACACCCAGGAAGAGGCAGCCTTACTCCTAGGATCACACCATGAATCAGTCCCAGAATCACACCCTTAATCCCAGCACCACACACTCTATATTCCAGCACCGCACATCCTAGATCCAGCCACCTCCGAGAAGCACCAAGTATGACCACATAAAGTTTGGAGATTTAGACACAGACTATACATAATAAATGAACAACAACCCCACTAGCATGTTTGTATGGGCACGAACCTAAGAATTATGGTTTTCTTGTATGTATTTCAATACAGTTTATGCAGCAGGGACAATGTTTGCTGTTCAACTATGGGGAAATAGAAGTTGTATTGCAAGTGTGTGGTTTACCCTTTAGGGTCTGACTTTCCACCTGTACCCTGTCAGCATCCCATGTTGTTTTCTGCATCCAAAATTAAATGCAAGGGTCTAGAATGTAAAGGATAGCAGAAACTGTGCTTCTGTAGCATTTAAATTGTGTTAGGAGGGATAAACTAAGTCCATTTTAAACAAGACATTTGAAAATGATGTAGTTTTTCTTGTAAGGAAACTGCGGTTTCTCAAAATAGCAATGTTTGTTACTAGGAGAAACCTCGGAATTATGCTTGTTTGGTTGGAAATTTTATATATTAGCAGAGTATCTTGGAAAGAGTATGAAAGAGAATACAGGTATTTTTCAGGAGTAGGATCTTTGTATTCTCATTCTGTAAGTTTCTTAGAAACCACACTAACTCTTTAAGTTTGTCTTTGGTATTCATTCTCTGACTCACCTGTCTCCTTGCAAATGTAATTCAATTGCAACTTGAAAACCACATTAAATGGGTTTGGAAATGGACTGAGAAATGTGGTATGTGTTTAGTGAGGAGTTTAGTGAATTCTGTGGAATGTTCAACCAAAATAACTTACACTTTCCTTAGCTTTGCAGCCTATTTCTTTTAGATAATTTATGTGAAGTTAGTCTAGAAAAGTTTCTGAGGTTCGTAGTTTTCATTTTGGGTTGTGGCAGCATGGCTTAAATGAGAGGTGTGGAATTTAAGTTCATAAAATCTTAAACTGAAATCTCAACTCTCTCACATAGTGTCCCTTACTTTTCTACAGGTTCTGAGTTACTTCCTCTGTACATTTTGGAATATAGCACCAAACACCTGGAAGACCTTGGGAGGGAAATGGAAATAAATACTTTAAAAATCCATTATTACAGTGACCTATAGCTGCTATTCCATGAATAGTGAATGCTGACGTTTTTTGCAGTTTTTTACTTATTATCATTTATTTACCTTTTTATTTATTTATCATTATTTTACCATACATTAGGGATACTATTATAAGAAGTAAAAATCATTTGAAATTATCATACATTTTTAACCTCAGTGTTTAGGTAAAAATTTAAAAGATCATGATCTGAGCCCTCATACTGAGAGGCCTCACATTCGGTATTCTTGTTCTCTTTATTTCTCCTATGGAACATCTCAAAGCCTTCCTTTCTATATTACACATCTAGAATAAAAATGTTTCCCTAGAGAGAAGACTTTACTGAACACATTGCTTCCTTAATGAGAGAGTGTCGCTTTTCTGGCATTCCACCCAATTCTTTTTCAGGTACCTACAATTGTACCTGGAGCTTATGTTCATGACAGTCTCTACGGCGATGTCCTCCTAAGTCCTTGACACCAAAGTGGGCTTCCTTCCAACTGAGTTCTCAGAATGCAAGTTGGCACTTTTGACAGAGAGCCTCTAGGTACAGCCATGATGATGTGGTCCTTTCCACTGCGTTGAATCCCTACAGTGTGAAAGCTTTGTGCAGAGGATGCTTCTTTCTCTAAATATTTTGATCTCAAATTATACCATTTGTTCACCACCGGTCAGTGTCTGCTGATAATTCTGCTTCATAGCTGGATACACTGACTCCTACTGACATGAGCTAAGAGCCTCCAGTCTATTACAGCTTTTTGATTTGTAAAGCTATTAAGTAACAACATGTGAGAAATCTCAAAAGAGGCACTGTTTTCAAGCTCATGATAACAAACGTATATGATCTTTTCCTTAGTAACTACTGAAAATATAACATGACAGTAGGGTATTTATTGAATATTTAGAAGTTGGTGATTTCTTCTCAAACTCCAGGATTCTTTTATACCTGCAGAAAAATGACACCATATCTCTATAGGATCTTCATTATCATTGCTCAGAATGTTCTTACAGAATCACAGACATGGATTCATAAGCAGAAAAATGATCCACAAAGACGTCTTCATACCCCTTTCCTGGGATCTGTGAATGTATTAGGCTATGTGGCAAACAGGAATTAAGTTTGCAAAAGAAATTAATATTCATACCAATCTGTATTTAAAATATAGAGATTTATTTGATGATCAGGATAAATCCACTGTAATCACAAGAGTCCTTAAAAATGAATGAGTCAAAAGGAAAGAATTACAGGCAAATGTGACTACGATAAAAAGGCACAGAGGAAAGCAAAGATGCTTTCATGATGTCAGACAAAGGAGGCTAAGCCATGAAAACTGAGTGACTGGTGGAAGATAAAAATGGGAAAGAAATGTTTTACCCAGTGTCCATCACACACTGCAGTCTTGCTGACTTCTTGATCTTTAACCCACTACTGTGCCCAAATCCTAACCTATGGAAGTTAAAGAGAGTATTTGCAGACTTAAAAGGATTTGATATAAATTTTTTAAGTTTGTGACAATTTGTTATAGCAATCAAATAAGGTTATAGTAGTAACACATATCAAATAAGGTTATAGTAGTAACACGTCTTCTGATGTAAGAAAAGAGATGATAAACTGGTTAATTTTACATGATTGTTGAAAAGCAGAGCAAAATAGAGGTAAAATTAGCGAAGGAATTATTAAAAGATGTTAAATTTTCATTTTATACCATATCCTCATCACATTTTTTTGTTTAATGCTAACAATAACTTTGTTAATGCTAACAAGCTTGTAAATCAGTGAAGATGTTCTGACACTTATGAATCCAAATGAAATCACAAGGGATGCTGGTAGCTAGGAAAGTCCCTGATCTTCTTCCAGGAAATAAAAAGATTGCTTAAATAAAATAACCATTAACAATTTGTGACATCTAGTCATGTTAAAATTATAATATCTTTAAAATGGTTCATTATATGTTGCAGTTTTATGTAACTGCATTTTAGCAATTTATTCAGATGACCATTTTTTAAGAGGAAGTAACAGAACACAAAGCCACCACAAGTCTTGAACAAAGTGACACATATGATCCTTTTGAGATTCACAAATAATTACATCTTCATCTTTTATAAAGATTTAAAATTCTTCAGGATGTTTACTACTCTAAAAAAAAAAGAAAGAAAAAAAAAGACTTCTTTTCCCTCATCAGTCAGCACTTTGGACAGAACCAGAGCACTGAGAAATTTTGACCAGGTCAGTCTGTACAGGTGTCCTGACAGTGAACACTGTTCATCTCTGGGAGGATTACTGTGACTTCTACTCTCTTCATCCGCCTACCCTTTTTCTTTCTGTTGCTGTATTTCTGAGGCAAATGTAAGAGCACTAATGACCTGCACTCATTGGCAGAAGGTGATGAAGAAAATGATACAAGTTCTACCAAATATCTAGTGTATGGAACAGACTAAATGTCTTTATACAGTTCATAAAATATGTGCATTAAGTGTAGAAGTTTGAAATATTTTTATCTCGAAGGAGACATGGTACTACCAGTTTTCTGAGAAATGTGGTTGATATACTGATACTTTCGAGGGGATGAATTTGGAGAGAGGAGGTGAAGAGGGATAACAGCAGTGTTTTCTTTATTCAAAGAAGGACAAGATAATTTTGGTCATTTTATACAACACTCAAAGGGGACACATAGCCTATTGTGTGGGGACAGACTTCTGACTGTCTTTTACATTTTAGAGAGTATTGGATTGGATTCTGAAACCGCTAAAGCAAACACTGCGGGCTTTGTTGGATGTCTGTCTTCAGTCCAGTACAACCATGTAGCACCCCTGAAGGCAGCCCTGCGTCACGCTGCCATCGCACCTGTGACTGTACATGGGGCCTTGAAAGAATCCAGCTGTGGTTTCGTGGTGGACTCAGATGTGAACGCAGTGACCACTGTACATTCTTCATCAGGTAAAGCCCAAAGGATGGCCAATATGACTTCCTGCATTGGGATATTTCTGGTGTGTTCTAGAAATTCCTAGTTTAAAAGGTCAGCTGATATTATTCAATACCTTTCCTTTGATGCTTACAACTGATTACCCACGGCTTGTCATGGGTAACCTTAACTTTCAGATGACAAGCAATGAGATTTAAAGGGATAGTTTCTTAAATTACATGCATACACATAATATACGCATGTATATATTTATACAACATCACTGTTATTTAAGAGACCTGAGAATTGAAGTATTTAGGAGGTATGGAGGCAGCAGGCTGGTTGCTGAACTGATATTATAATTCATATGATGACAATCAATATAATTATCCTTCTCTACTAAGGAATAATTAATAATAAAATTGTACATGTTCAAGGTGTACATTGTGATGGTTTGGTATACATATTTAATGTGTAATGATATAGCAATGCAATTGACTGTCACATTCATCTCCTCACATAGTTATCTGTGCTTGTGAGTATGTGTGTGTGTGTGTGTATGGGGGGGAATGTGTGTGTGTGTTTCTTGTGAGGACACTTGAGATTTAGGCTATTAGCAATTTTCAATAAAAAATCCAGTATAATTAATTATAGTAACCATGCTTTCATTAGATCAGTAAAACATATTGAGTTCATAACTGAGGGCTTCTAAATTTTAAAAACAGCTCTCCATTTTCTCCATATCTTGTGTCCTGGAAATCACCAGTATACTCTCTACTTCTATGAATTCAACTATTTTTAGATTCCATGTATAAATGATATCATGTAGTTTTCCACTTCCTGTGCCTCATTTATTTCCCTTGGTGTAATGTCCTCTCTTTTCATCTCTGTTGTTTCAAATGTTGTAAGCATCTTTTTAGGTCTGAATAATATTTCATTTTGCTGTGTATATACACGCCACATTATATACATATATGTATATATATATATATTCATCCACTGACAAACAGGTTATTTCATACCTCAAATATTACAAATACTACTACGATGAATATGAAAGAACAGATATCTTAAACACAACATCCACCCTGAACTCACCTTATAATGCATTACAAAGCATATTGATCGTAATACTGTGATGCTGATATGAAAACAGACACGTAGACAAATACAACAGAATAGGCAGTACAGAAATGAGCTCCGGCAAATATGTTCAACTAATATTTCACAAGCGTTAGAGAATACATGAAAGGGAAATGAAAAAAATTTAAATAAGTGGTGTTGAAAAAATAAGATAACTACAATCAAAAGATTGAAATTTGATCATTGTCATCAGCATATAAAGAAGTTAACTTGAAATGGAGCACAACTTTATGTTTCAGATGGAAAACTATAAAATTTCTGGAAGAAAACATACAGAAGAAGTTCCTTTCCCTTAGTCTTGACAATGGTTTTTTCGATATGATGAAAAAAGAAAATGTAGGCAACACAATAAAACATAAATGAGACTACATCAAGCTACAAATGATTCTTTGCAGCAAAGGAAATGATCAACAAAATGAAAAGGCAATCTTTAGAGTGGGACATATATTTACAAAATACTACGATGAGACATCAAAATTCAAAATACACAAGGAACTCATACAACAAACTAATAACCTGTTTAAAATAAGGCAAAATATCTGAGTAGGCATTTTTCTAAAAATGCAGTACAAATGAACAATAACTATAGAAAAAAGGTGCTCAAAATCATTAATGATCAGCAGAATGCAAATCAATATAACCACTAGGATGGCTGTAAAAGGCAAACATGGGAAGTTCTCATCAAATGTTTATGTCTATAAAATTTAGATAGATGTATATGGAGAGATGGTGCCTAAGTATTTAAATTAAAACATTTATTTGGGAATAAGGAGAGTTAAAACTAAACTATCACTGTAAAGTTTGAAAAAACACATTATAAAGATAAAGCATATTATTGGAGTAAATGGATCACCACACAGTGGATTACTTTCCCGAAAGTATTCCTCAAGCATGCATAGAAGCACTGGGTGTGTGTGTGTATGTGATCATATTTCTGATGCAGTTGTCCTATTAGATCTGAAATGTTTTATTTGTAGCTTTAGTAAACACTAGAGAATCAGAATTAATAAACTGAATTAATATGTGCTGATCTAACAACATCAGAATATTCTAGAAATAGAGAAATCCAGGTTAAAATCAAGGCAATGCTGGCTTGTAATTTTCAAAAGCTGTAAAGGAGGAGCCAATGTAAGTTAGAGTAAGAAAAAGCTGTGATCCGAACACTGGTGGAGAACTGAAATTTGAGTGTTTATACAGAAGTAGGAGGAATTCCAGGACCGAGAATTGAGATGGGGTAGACAACAATAATAAGCTTTAGAGGACATAGGAAATATAATAACTACTAAATGGTTTCAGCTCCATCTTTCTTTGCTTCCTTGGTGTCTTTTCCCTCCATCCTTTCCGTCCTTCCTTAATTCTCTTACAGTCCTTTCTTCCTTCGTGCCCTTCCTCCTTTCCCCCTCTTTCCTTCCTTACTCCCTGCCTTTGTTTTCCACTTCCTTCTGCTATACCTTTTCCTCTCTTCTTCTGACTTCTCGTTTTCCACCTTGGAGTATTCCTGGCCAGAGTGAAGTATGGTAGAAAGAGCCTGAATAGGACCATTAGCCCCAGCCTCCATTCTGACTCTGCCATGAAGGGGCAGTAGGACACTGACAAATTACTTAACAGCCTCAATCATAGTGTCTTTTCTGTCAAACAATACTTTTTTGTTATTCTCTAAGGATTAAATGGTAAATAATAATGATGGTAGCTATTTATTTTATGTGTAATATCTACCAGATGCTAGAAATTTACAGGTGTTATATATGTATACATATCACAGTCCACTTTGAATACATGTACAATTTTTTATTTAAAAAAACAGATCATGTGCCATGTCATTACACCACCCAAATAGTAGAACAAAGATTCTGGCCCAGGTTTGTGTGTCTTTGAATTTGTACTTTGTATTTTCTTGCACCCTGTAGATTAAGGTACACAGAGTATATTTGTACCTTGTATGTTAATGGACACCTAGTACAATTACTTTCTCAGTGAGGGTTGTTCCTGGAGGTGTTAATTCTCCAGCACATTTCTCCATCACAATGGCCTCAGAATCCTCTTGCAATTGAAGAAAACACTAAAGTATGGGGACCCCTGTGACTGAGGTAAGGAGCTATTGTCATACACAGGAAGGACCCTCTAAAGCCCAGGAGGACCTCAGGGATGGCTGAGGGCCTATGGCACCCACCAGCATCCGGCTCCACTCTTTCTCCTACAGTTTATATGCCAGCTAATAATATCTTTGAACTCTAGGTTGGGAGCAGTTTATTTCAGATGTTTTAATTTTTGTTTGGGCTCCTTCCAAAACAGCAGTTCCCAACTTGTTGAGAGTACGTGGTCTATCCAATGAATATGTCATATCCTGTCTTCCAGCGCTTTGAGGGAACACTAAAATTTCATGTCTTTTACTCTTCTTAGATCCCTTTGGGAAGACAGATGAGCGAGAACCACTCACCAACGCAGTGCGAAGCGATTCTGCAGTCATCGGAGGTAAACTATTCTTTGTGGTCAGAAGCAGAAAAGATCCATGTAACCTTGTGTTTCAGAGAAAGTTATCTGAAGCCTTCTCTAATGATGGTCACTCTGTGCCCAAAAGCCCATGTCTCCTGCCAGTGGTGATGCTTTAAGGAATCATCACACATGCTGCAGGATCAACGACAACACCTCCCCCTACGCCAGCGTATCTGTGGATCCATCCTGCCTCGATTTGTCAGACAGCTGAGCAGAGTCGACAGCTGGAGCATTCACTTACAGCCAAGCAGCCTGCATCCCATTCATCTGATCCACTTGTCACTTTTCCTAAAGCATAAACAAAGCAGACCAATAAAACTGTATGTGAAGAAGAAGCCACATCAGGGCAGACAGATGGGTGAAACCATAGTCCTGTCGAGCTTTCTCTACCAACTCATTTGAAGTAGATCTAATGAGCAGGGTGAAGCCCACAGGTCTGTAGTTCCAAATCCAGCAGCACATATGGTTACAGATGAAGATCTTGTCTGTATCGCTGTCAACTCAGCTCAACTCCTGCCTCCCTCCCTCTTTCACTTTTCCAGCTTTGGCCTCACCCCTTCTTATTCTGCCTACGGATTTTTTGCTGCTTTCATTAGTTTGATTTTTCCATCTGGATCTTGCAATAGTGAAAGACTCCCACATGTAGTTTAATGGAAGATGCCTGAGAGAGACTAAATTCATTTCCGTCTGAGAATCATCACCCTAGCAGGTGCCCCGTCCCAGTCTTACAGAAGTGTAGATAAACTGATCCACACCAGATGGAGTTCGCCTTAAAAGCTGGCACAATCCATGCATTTAACTTACATTTAATGGGTCCTGCTCTGGGTCAGGCTCTGTACAAAATGTAAGGGCACAGAATGAAGGATATGAACACTGCCTATAGAACTGCCTGGCTAGGGACAGGATGTGAAAGCAGCTAGCAGGAAAAAGTAAGGAAGATTATTGGGAGAGAGAAAACACACAGGGCAATTGAAACCCCGGTGCACCATTGTGCCAGAACATGAGGAAGGAAAACCACAACCTTCCCCTAAGGAAATCCATGAAAACTCTCAGCTGAATTTCTGCTTCAGGGAAGCCAATTGAACTTAATTTTTGTTTGGCACTGGAAATGTTGGAAAGTATTTTATATCAGTTTCTCTTCCTGTAATTTTTCCTTTCACAAATGGAAAAAAAATGTGACTGCTAACTTTTCACCATTAATTTGCATGCTTTTGTGAGTCTCCTTAAATGTAAGAAAGCTATCCTAACTCTATTGGAAAATTCCGAGAGGCATGATTGCCTCCAGTTCTGAATAATGGATGCTCTGAAGGGAGAAAACTCTTCCCTCTGCCCTGTCTTATAGCTGCAAATGACAGATGATTAAGAGAGAGCTCATGGGAGCTACTCATTGAAACCTGTACTCACAGAACTGTTAACTTAGGTGGCCTTATTCTACCTTTTTTCTAAAGTAGTTTGAGACTGTGTTATACAAAGACTTAGGAATATGGAAAAATATAAACAATCTTAATTATTTTCCCAACTCTACAAAACAGTTGGTGGAACACATGCCATAATGTGTTTAAACCTCTATCATCCATGGTTATATAAATCATAATGTAAAACATCCTATAATGAGTTTCTAAAATAGACATCTGTATCAATTCTGCACAACATGGAAAAGCAAGATAGCAGAACCCATAACTCATTACCAATGAAATGGCCTTTGATTAATCAAAAGTATTTTTAAATGTTTTACTGGTGAAAAGCCTATGTTTATGTAGAGACACATTCTCCCTCTTTCACATTTTTATCACCCTTTCGGGATTACTACTTTTCTCTTTTCCTCAGGAGGTTTCTTGGCAGAAGTAAGGATGAATCTTTAGAGTCAGTGTAGACAGCTCACAGAATAGATTCAGGAAAATCACACAGAAGTAAAGGTGGATGTGGCAGACTAGGCAGACGCTGTCATTTCAGGCCAATATGAGTTTCACGGGAACAGAGTTGTCCCAGCTCTGAGTTGTCCAAGTGTCCAGCAGAACGCAGAACAGTGTCAAAAATGCCCTAAATTGCTGGTAAGCATTTCATGATTAATGAGTACTTTTTAGGAAATCAAATATATAACACAAAATAAATTTACCTAAGGGAGTATGCATTGGGATGAGAGGCACTTAAGTGTTGCATTCTAGGAAAAGCTAAAATACTCAATTGCATTGGCAACAATGAAAAATATTAATTAAAATAATTTTGGTTTAGTGTTTTAAAAATCTTGAAAAACTTTACTAAGAGACTTTTGGATATAGCTCAGTGGAAGAGCACTTCCTCAGCTTGTGCAAAGCCCCAGGTTCAATCCCCGGCACCCAAACAAAACATAACAAACAAAGGGGCTGAGGATTTAGCTCAGCGGCAAAGCGCATGCCTGGCAAGCGCAAGGTCGTGAGTTCGGTTCCCGGTACCAGAG